CTGATATCCCATATCAGTTAAACAATGGACACCTGATGATGGCTAGAATGTACTTGATCGAAACTTCGTGTCTATAATAACATCTAGAGCAATGAGAATGATAGTTCGACATAATTAAAATATTAAAACATTGATCTATTTAACGTTTTAATATTTTAGTTTGCATTGTTGGCGGTGAGAACAGAGCCGGTGCAAATGTTTTGTGTCCTCCGTGTCTATAATACAGACCCCACTTTACTATATCTCAATTTCCATAAGGTAGTATTCATATAAAATACAAATTTTATTGTAACCCACTTATGTACAATAATGGATCATATGCAATATTGGTGAACAATTGATCTAGAAAAATTGAAAATAGATGCAATGTATCTAAATACAAATTAGAGACCTGTCATAATAGATTATTCCATTTTAAATAAATTAACAATGTTTGCAGTAATTTTTAAAACTAAATTGAGAATTTTGTTAAATAGTTCAATAATTTTAACACATTCAACATTAAGGATAAAAAAATAATGAATTTTATATCGTGACTTAGCATGAGAAAATAAATTCACGAATTTGGACAACAAAAATCACCAGAATGACTACAAAATCCTTGAAAAAAGTTTCATCATTTAATAGTCATTTGTGCTTAGTTTAATTTGTAATGTATATAAATGTAGGTAGAAAAAAAGCAAATGCTGATAAGATAGTTAAGGTCACAAGGAAGCGGGTACGAACCGGCCCTAGCTGAGAATATATGCTTGTGGCTGAATTTAATCGGCGACTCCCTACGGATGTGCGTACAATATCGTGCGAAACTAAATAGATGAATATGCAGGTTATTATTTGTTAGAATCGCATGTTCCCCAGTGCCAGTGTTTCACACTACGCAAATCCCGCATTTACGCTACATTATTTTCCCGCGTATTTCTTTTCTCTGCTTTCTTTTGTCGATGGTAATTATGCATTGAAAGATAGAACAAAAAAAAAAAATGGCGTTCACTTAAGACGCGACAATTTATTTACTTCGTTTCACCATAAACGAGAAACAGCTTTACCGTGCACTCGACGCCTTGCACCCCCGGCACTTACACAATAAGATCTTACTCTCGACACTAGACTAAATTTATATTCGCATCTATTTCCATTTACTTTGACTATCTTTCTTTCATTCACAGCTTGTCTGTCTGTTGTCCTCTCAATCTGACGGTCAACATGGCGGCTAGCTTGTTCGCATTGGTAGCCAACCTATAATCATTACAGGCTGACAGATCCTCCGTTTAAGGAAACTGAACTTCCTGCTTTTTAAAATTCATAACATCTGTGCATTTATAAGGTCAGCAATACTCTGGAAATATAAATATCTACCATAGCTTCTTCCTATTTCATCAAATATATGTACATATGAATGTCTTTCCAGATGGTTGTGCGTATGAAAACAAATTTCTATACCTTTATGTTATATACATTCCGAAGATACTTATATAAATTTTAACACACGAGTTTTAAAATTACACAAACGCATTGAATGGACATTAATTTGATGATGTTGCGTCTATGGTTGTTTGCCTTGAAAATCAGCATACAGTTTTTTAATATCTATGTTACTTATTTAGAAATTCTTAATATAATACAAAGAATCTGCAATGTTATTGGTACTGACCTGGTATCTCTGCTTCAGTCACTTTCCCACTGCCGTAATGTAACTTAGCTGTAGATTTTCTATAAATATTTTCATGGTAATTGTTCTGAGAAACTTCTTTCTATAGCTGTTATTCTTATCTCCCGCCCAGACAAACTGTAAATATGGGAACTATTTAGGTCCCTGTAGAGACTTTGAGACATTATGGTGACTGTACTAAGAATGGTAAGTAAGAATGTGTTGTTTTGCTGCAAGGAATACTGTAGTATGTTCGGGTCAGTAACTGTCGAGAGCTAAGTTTAAGATAAGACAGATTGAAGACCAGTCTTTCCCTATCCCTCCCTTTGACCTTGTGCCACATTGTTTTATCTTTCAAAATAAATAACGGTTTTCTCTATGGACCTAGACTTTATGAATTTAAGCGCAGTACTAGATTGGCAGGTAGGTCGCTTCATTTTACAGTTGAAATGGCTAGATGTAACAGTTCTATGCTAACAGTTTCTTCTCTCGTACTTCTCGCTTGTGGAACTCATTTCCGGTTTCTTGCTTTCCATTCAATATTGATCTTCAAAAATTTAAATGCAATATCAATCGTTATCTTTTCTTTTGTTATTTTTTTAAATTTTTTATTGTCCCTTCTCCTTATTGATTTTTCTCATATGCTCTGAGTACAAATTTTTACTCAGGCTCGAAGATCGAAAAGTGCCATGTCACGCTGAAACACAAATTCTCGTATGATCACCGAAATTAAGCAACGTCGAACCAGGACAATAGCTAGGACAATTGGTGACCGTTTGGAAATGTTAGATGCTGTAAATTTGGATGTGCGGGTGGCTCAGAATTGAAGATTAGAGAGTCGAGTTCCAATTCTAGTCTGTTTTATTATATTCATTTACGCGCAAATGCCCTTGGGAAAAGTATGAATACTTCTCTTCTCCCCCTTTCATTGGGTTAATTAGTAGCATTTGTATCCGTAAATCATGATCATCTCAAAAAAATTCTTGTAAGCCCAAAATATGCCCTGGTTTTAAATAACCTGAAAAAGGTTGATAAGTCGTAAAAAATTCAATCTTTTGTGACGTACGGTGGCCGTTAATAATTCAGTATATCTCAAGACTTCACTGTTAAGATAAAACAGTATTTGATTACAACCTCAAATAAATACTTAACAAGAACAAAGGTCTAAAAGTCAACCAAATATAATTAACCATTTCAATGTTAGTAGCGCGGCTCGGCTTAACGTCAGGTAAATCCTAAATCAAAACCCAAATTATCGGCGCGCAATAATTCACACTAATTCGACTGGATAGTTCCACTCAATAGTCACTCAATAATCACCGTCAGAAGTATAGTGTGTATAAATATCTATATATATATATATATATATATATATATATATATATATATATATATATATATTATGAAACAATTATTTTAAGACATTTTTTATGTTTATACATTCTTTTTATAAATACAAATATTTAAGTAAATGCTCTGTTTATAATAAACAGTATTAAACAACATTTACCGGCCTGAATGTCCGAGAAATTTTCATAGAAAATATTCAACCTTGCTAACCGAACGCTCCTCTGTAGCCAAATCGGTCCAGGCACGTCAAGCTAAATGACGGTTCCGTATAGGATACAGTTTCGAATCCTGGCGGAGGACGAATATTTCCTGTGAAAATTTCTCGGACATTCAGGCCGGTAAATGTTGTTTAATACTGTTTATTATAAACAGAGCATTTACTTAAATATTTGTATCTATAAAAAGAATGTATAAACAAAAATGTCTTAATATATATATATATATATATATATAAAATAGTATAGTATATATAAATATTGACACCGCTATTATACATCTGGCGGAAAACATAAATCTAGAGTGTTACGCTCGAACCTCGGTGTCAGTATTTTCTTCTTATATCACACAATCAATCAATGAAGCTAGAAAAGTGTTGATCTGTATCTGCCACAGTGATGGAGATTTCTTTTTAAATCATTTTATCCCAGGCAAGGTAATAGCAATATTAATGCGTGATTAAGTGGAAGAGAATATGAGAAAACGAACACTTTATATAGAATGAGGAATAACAAAATAGGATTTAAGACAGAAGATAATGATTAAAATTATTCAAATCTGCTCAAACGCCACCTATTTGAATAAAAGCTACGCTCTTTTATACTAACCCAGTACTTTATATGAAATGCAGTAAGATGTCATGTTACACGCCACGTGTTCCAACCACTTCATTTTCTTGGGTTTTTAATTTTACAATCATTGAAGCTTTGATTGTTCCTGATGTCACCAACGTCTTGGTTTCTGTTGCTGTTCATTAAGTCTCGTCTTTTGAGGAGACGTGAAGGGTGGGTGAGAAGTGGCGGCCCTTTTGTTCGCGTTGAATGCCACTCGGGTGCAAAAAAACGTGACAAAAAAAAACATAAAATCAACTCAGCCTTCAAAAAATGAAACTGGCTTTGGAATATAAGACACGCGCAAAACGAGACAGAACTCAAAAGCTATTTTTAGATTCTTATTTGCTCATTTCAAAACACAAATAAAAATGAATACAATGACGACGGACTTTACTCAGCTTAGCGCAGTGGTTAACGGTGCGTAATTTGAGATTAGCATGCCTGTTCAAATACCTTGTTAAGATCTACGTTAAGAAGGACTCATTTATCATCACGTAGCTTTTCTTACAGTATCATCTAATACAATAACTGTACTTGTCTCTCAATTCCATTGTTAGCGCAACCATTACGTCCTGCCAATATCTAATAAATAATGGACTATTCTGCTTTAGTCTCGTCGAATGCAGGGAAGAGACACCACTTGGTTTCAGTAAGAAAATAAAAGAAAGAAAGAAGATAGAAGTGTTTAATGTCGTTTTCAGTTAAATGGAAAAAAATTATCAATTTAAGATCTTTTCATTTGTACCCCCTTACTGCTTAAAGTAACGGCCTGCAGTCATATTTATTATTGTTATTTATTTAATTGTTTTTTTATATAAAGGTTCACCCTGTACAAATCAAAAATTTCTGTAACATGAGCTATTGAAAGTTAGACAGTTGTGTCCCTTTAATTGAAAAGGTATGACACAGTGACACACTGACATTTGCATTTATTATATAGAAGTGAAGCTCTTATAAATGACAAAATAGAAATATCCATTAACTTTGTATTGGAACCAAGTATATAGCATTTCTTTGGCTCCAAAGTCGTCCCGTTTTCCCATTGGCTTTAGTTTATTGAAACACTGAAGTTAAGCAACGTCTATCCTGGTCAGTAGCAAGATGGGTGACCACTTGGGAATACCAAGTGCTGTAAGCTTAGTTATACGACTGGTCTAAAGGGCTTACGTCCATATCACGCTAAAACACTGAAGTTAAGTACCGTCGAGCCTGGTCAGTAGTTAGATGGGTGACCGCTTGGGAATACCAAGTGCTGTAAGCTTGTATGTGCGACTGGCGTAATGGATAACAACTCGGACAGCCGAGTTCCATTTCCAGTTGGGTTCGTTATATTCACTTATAAATGCCATTGAGAAAGGTACTCCTTCTCTCCTTACCCCAGATATGGGTCAATTAGTATCAAGATTATTTTGTAACCCCGACAAAAAATTGCGTACAAAATATTTAAATTTCGGCCTTGCGTGACAAATAGAGGTTGATATGCAGCTAAACAAAACTAATCAGCCAACTCTATTTTGAGTGGCTCTTGCGCTTTGTATGGAACAATAACGTAAATACATTTCAACTGACCTGCTTCAACTTCGGCAGAATTATGCCGTGATAAGTCAACAAGATATTTAACCAAAAATATTTAAACTGTACGCGTGTCTATAACCATAAAATGTGGAAAGAAAGTCAGAATATTAGAAGAAATCCCAAATAATCATATATATATATATATATATATATATATATATATTACTGTAAGCATTATTTTTAGTGGATATCCATATTTGAGTAAACTATTTGCTTATTTTAAACGTTATTTCATTTTGTCTACCAGCCGGAACATTTGAGAAATATTATTAAAGAAATTACAGAATTCGAAAAACTGTGCCACTTTTTGCAGGAGAAACAGGTCGTTGATCGGGCGTGCTTTGACTACGTTCTCGTATATATATATATATATATATATATATATATATATATATATATATATAATAACCCACGCCGACACTAGACTGTAATGAGCCTCTCAGTACCTGACAATTGCGTGATGCATTAAACTCCGAGTCTTATTGTTGATGTGGGGTATTAATATATACTTAACATACTTATCTTGCTTTTAGCATTGTTTTACTTACACCAAAATATATATATATATATATATATATATATATATATATATATATATATATATATATATATATATAATAAAAGAGGCTTAAACACTAATATTCCATGGTCATAATTTATTCCATTGGAATCGTAAATACGATCCAAATCATCAGACCTAAAATTCTCTCTGTTAAGGTTTCATCTCCCTCCTCCTCATACTTACACTTCCTCTAAATTCTGTTTTGATTTCCGGAGTTGTTTTTTCTGTTTTCATTTTGAATTTGTATGTCTGATGATTTGGATCGTATTTACGATTCCAATGGAATAAATTATGACCATGGAATATTAGTGTTTAAGCCTTTTTATTATATCCTTACTCTGTCCTAGACATTGAGTTCTACCTGGATTCTTCCTCTTGGAAAAATTTTTTTTTCTGAAAATATACATGTATGGGTATTTTTTTATATATATTTTGCATATGTATGTATATTTTCCACTAATATTATCAATCTCTCTCTCTCTCTCTCTCTCTCTCTCTATATATATATATATATATATATATATATATATATATATATATATATATATATTACTTTACATGCGCAGTACTTAGTGGAAAGTGTTCCATAACAGTGATAGAGCTAACATATTCAGTTGTATGGATATGAGTTTTTAACCCTGATAATCGCAAAAGTGTCAAACCCAGCTTTATTTATTGTTCAGTTCACAGAATCCGCCGGTCTTTTGAACAGGAGTCGTATCTTTTGTTTACTGTTTAGGATTAGTTTTCCTGTTCCTTCAGCTCTGTACACTTAGCCCTTGTCGTTTCTTAAGTTAATCTTTAGCAACTTCACACAGTAACCCTCTAACTCGAGGGGCTCTTGTTCCTATTAGGTGAACATTATTAAAAATAAAATAAAACGTATTCAATGTCGACCATTTCGCATAGTTTATCAGCAATGGCCAATGTCCAGTTGTGTCAGATTTCACTGGACAACTTTTCATTGAGTTCTGAATTCAGCTATTTGCTACAGTGGTTTATGGTTAACCATAAAGCAACATTGAAAGAGAATTAAATTTTCCTCATAACCCATTCCTCTTCTATCAAAACAACAGAATTGTTATGTCTAAGTTTGATTAGCAGGTCATATGAGTCAAGCCAGTGATGGATACTTTGCCTGGGACGTACATAAACTATGGAAAACCGACAAAGGCAAAATGAATAAGACTTGCAACTTAATTATTTAACAGTACTGACATATTTTAGCTCTTAAATAAACATATTTTGACATTGTATCAGTGATACATGAATGCCTCACGAGGGCTGATTGATAAGAAAGATCTCTAATTCCATGAAGAAAGTTATAAATCAAACAGAATAATGAAACTGATATCAAAATAAAGTCAATTTATTTCTTTTCAATATGACGAAGGTTGATTGATAATTAAGGTCTCCAATTCTATAAAAACAAGTTTCAGACAAGATAGAATAATGAAACTGGTATCAAAATGAACCAAATTTATTTCTCTTCATCAGTGAACTTCACATTACATAAGGGATCCTAATAATGATATCAATCAGCTACACATTACATCAGGGATCCTAATAATCGTATCAATCGTACATTATGTAAGGGGTCCCAATAATGGTATCAATCAGCTGTACATTTCATAAGGGATCCTAATAATGATATCAGTCAGCTGCACATTACCTAAGGGATCCTAATAATCGTATCAATCAGCTGCACATTATATAAGGGATCCTAATAATGATATAAATGGGTGGCACGTTGCATAATGTATCCTAATAACGATATCAATATGCTGCCCATTAGAGAAAGGATCCAAATAATGATATCAATAATCAGCACATTTTGGTTTGTAATCTTCCTGTTATCCAGGCCTTGTTACCAGAGAGACAAATCATCTCTACAAACAACCATATATACGCGTATATATTTTAATTTAATAACAGACCTAAAAATATTACTTCAAAATTAAAAAACATAAATAATCAAAAAATAATTTACTATCGAATAGTTTTTGTCATATAGGACATAATGAATGGGATCGTCCGTTTATGTAAATAAGCAGAGTTAAGCAGAGTTGAGGAGATTTAGTATTAAGTCTTAGCCACGATATCTTTAGTGCTTATCGAACTGTCTGACTTCGGGTATAGAGGAACTTAGATGAGGCTATGCCGAATGTCAGAGTCTTGTGTAGGGAAGTAGACAAACTAGACCCCGTTATTACGGTGTCTACGGGGAATTTTTGCCCCGGCATACGGGCTCGGAGAAACCCACGTTAAACCGGGGTGCTCGGGTAAATATCGACTTTCTTGCTCATACCAGGGTAAGGGATGTCCAGACTGTGTGGAATTGGAATATATGATTTCAGTGCCTTATTTGTGACCCGGTCAAATTATTAGTGTGCTTTTGTGTATATTAAATGACGCAAATCACAAAACACAAACATAGGGATCTAGATATGTCCACCCAAAGCCACACGAAGAGAAAGCATGACGGACGTAGAATCGGTGCTATTATAATATAGATTTACTGTGCAACCAAATCATGACCAATGATTTTAATTCGTCAAAGAACTGCGTGTACATGAACACGTCGCAGTCGCTGTTCTCGAAACTCGTCATCAGGAAAGAATGTCAAATTGCAAGAGATCAACGCAGAGAAATATTTGGCTTTTCTTTCATTTCTGCTGGAAATTATTTCGAAAACGCGTTCCATTCGACGCATTTAGGAATGTGAACCATTCCCCCATGTCCGAATGGAAATTGTCAAAAGAAATATTGACAATGTGAAATGAATTCTCTTCTTTTTTTTTTGGTGGAAGTAAATCATTTCCTTCTTTTATTTTCTTTTTTTGTGAAATGTTTCATTTTGAAAGAATTTAAAATAACTATTAGGATTGTTTTTTTTCTGGAATTGGAAAAAAATCTGATTCACGAATCTTTTGAAATTTTTTTTCGTATCTGTTTTGCACTTTAAAAATAATTGTATTTTTTAGAAGGACACACACGTATATATATATATATATATATATATATATATATATATATATATATATATATGCGTGTGTGTCCCTTCTACATTCATTTTACATTCAACATCATCACTTGATAAGACACCGAGAGTGTTGAAACAAAATGGCTATTTTTGTAGTGATTTTATAACATATTTATGTTATCATTTTTTTAAATAAATAATTATATATGTGTATATATATATATATATATATATATATATATATATATATATATATATAGTATCCCAAGTGTTAGTCTTACTAAAATAGTGATTGATGTAATATAACAGAACTATTAAATATAAGCCTTAAATAGTAAGTGAAGATTGCGTTGTGTATAAAACTCCGAATCGTGCTACCGGTGTAGGATAATTTATATATTTATTAATATATATATATATTATATATATATATATATATATATATATATATATATATATATATATATATACCGGTAAGATGAGAACGAATAGAATAGACTTCCAACGTTCGTAACATTTAATTTAAAAATGGCTCAGTACATAGTAGAGCAATATTATTTATTTTAGAATATTACAGCAAAAACATGTAAGGATCACTACACAATTGGACACATAACACATAACGAAGGGGAAGAGACGCATCGTTATGCGTTGAAACACGACTGCAATTTTTACATGATTTTGTTGTAATATACTAAAATAATACACACACACACACACACACACACACACACACACACACACATATATATATATATATATATATATATAGAGAGAGAGAGAGAGAGAGAAATAGACAGACAGACAAAGACAGAGAGGCATAGATAGATAATACCATTTTTTCGGGAAAAACAACATACCATAATGAATGAAAACAAAGATTTATCGTTAAATTTTTAATATTATTATTAAGAAAGAGCGAAGTATTTTTACATTATTTCTCTCATCATACTATTCACTTTCTTAGCGAAAAAGTTCTGATACCTATATATATATGTTCACCTTAGCCCGAGAGCTACTCAAGGTAGAGGGTGACAGAGTAAGAGACAGATATAGACTCAAAATGTCTTGAGAGGTGTGCGTTTCTTAAACAGAGTTATTAAGCTTTGCTGAAGGGCTTCTCGTGTCTTAATGGTAAA